CAGGGGCCGCCCCCTCCGCGCAGGCGACCGCGGCGGCGGTGCCAAGGCCCTGGCTGCGCAGCCTCGCTCGGCTGGGAGAGCGGTCTCCTCAGATCTCGGTCTCCTTGGCGTCTCTCCTCCGCCGTCCTCTGGGAGCCGAACCTCTTGTTTTCTCTCGGCTCTTTCACCCTCTCCCCGCGGGATCCTGCCAGATGCTGGTGACGCAGAAGCCTCCCCTGAGGCCCTCCTCGCAGGGCTCCTTCCCCCAGGGGCTGGGCTGGCTCCTCCCCTGCCTCCTAAGGAGGCCCTCCTGGCAGGGCTTCTTCCCCCCAGGGGCTGACCTGGCCGGCCTGCACACGACTGGCCCGTTGGGGTGCGCTGGTGGGGGGTGTCCTGGTCACCCTTCCTTGTCCCAGTGCTGATGGGGCCAGGGTCTTGGCAGCAGTCCCTGCGGGACGCCTCTGAGACTTGCAGTGTTCCTTGATTCGCTGGGTCTGGAGTGGTTGTGTGGGAGACCGAATTCCTGAAGGAGCCTTGGCTTTCCGCCCCCTCCCTCAGGCACAATGACAATAAGACCTTCCTGGTGTGGGTCAACGAGGAGGACCACCTGCGGGTCATCTCCATGCAGAAAGGGGGCAACATGAAGGAGGTGTTCACCCGCTTCTGCACTGGCCTCACCCAGGTCAGTGCAGGGAGGGGCCAGCCCCAGGGCTCAGGTGGAATGTGGGTACCCTGTCCACACCCTTAGGGAGCCCAGGTCTCCCCTGGGGCGCAGCCAGGCCTTCCCTCTCATGCCCCTTCTGCGCCTGCAGATTGAAACACTCTTCAAGTCTAAGAACTATGAGTTCATGTGGAACCCACATCTGGGCTACATCCTCACCTGCCCATCCAACCTGGGCACCGGGCTGCGGGCAGGCGTGCACATCAAGCTGCCTCACCTGGGCAAGCATGAGAAGTTCGCTGAGGTGCTCAAGCGGCTTCGGCTGCAAAAGCGAGGCACAGGTGAGAGGGGGAGGCATGGTTCCCCCCTGCCACACACACATGTCCTCTGCCTGCTGACCTGGCCGGCCCTCCTTCCACAGGCGGTGTGGACACAGCTGCCGTGGGCGGGGTCTTCGATGTCTCCAACGCAGACCGCCTGGGCTTCTCGGAGGTGGAGCTGGTGCAGATGGTGGTGGATGGAGTGAAACTGCTCATCGAGATGGAGCAGCGGCTGGAACAGGGCCAGGCGATCGACGACCTCATGCCTGCCCAGAAGTGAAGCCTGGCCTGCACCACCACTAGCCTGCTGCTTCCTAACTTATTGCCCGGGCAGTGCCCGACATGTACCCCTGATGTCCGCCACCCGGCGGCTGAGCCCTTAGCCTCGCTGTAGAGACTTCTGTCGCCCTGGGTAGAGTTTATTTTTTGATGGTTGAGCTGTTGCTGATGCTGAAATAAACTAGGGTTTTGGCCTGCGCTGTGTCCGGGTGCTGCCTGTCCTTCCTGTGGGAAGCCAGCGGGGGAGGCCTGGTTTCTTGTTCCTCCTTGCCGCCTGAGAGAGCACAGTGGAGGGGTCATGTGCCTCCTCTGCCCTACCCACTACCCGTGTCTTCTCGAGGAATGGGTGGAAGGGGGAGCAAGCAAGGAGCTCCAAGGCGCTGAGCATCTAAGGGCATTTGGGCCTGGGGGTGGAGCCTGGCACTGTCCTCAGCCCCATCCGAAGGGTGAGGGGCAGGATGGCAGGGCCCAGAAACTTGATAGCTTCCAGTCCCAGACATCCTCCGGGCTCCCCTCTGCTTCCTCCCCAGCAGCCACTCGGTCTCCTAAATCATCTGTCCAGGCTGCCTTCCCTCCTGGCTCCGCCTCAGGCTGGCTGCCCATTCCTAAGCCAGCTCTCCGGGCCCTCCCAGCCTGCAGAGGGTGCCCTGCACCCTGACCTTCACTTGCCCCCCTTGGGGCAAAAAGGGGGCGGAGGCTGTTTCTCCCTGGCCTGGTTCCTTTTCCCTAGTCTGTTTCCAGCAGCCTATATGGGTTTGGGGCGCAGGGTTGGGATGATTCCCCCTGGGAGCTGGGACTCCTTCCTACCTGCTACAGATCCTCCCTCTGTCCACAGGCTGTGCTGCCACCTGCTGGCCAGGGCCTGAACCCACCCTGGGGTTCAGGGCCTGGGGCACCCATGCCCACCAAGACTTTGCCAGCTGACTGTGGGAGTTGATGCCTTCGCATCTCACAGGGACTTGGGAATGTGTTAACTCAGACCCCGGGCCCAGGCTGCAGCTGGGGGGCAGCAATGGCTATGCTCTGGGGGTGCATCCCTCTCTGGCAGGGCAGCCAGGCTCCATCTGAGGGTCACATCCAGGTGGTGTCAGCCTGAGGCAGCTCCAAGCGGCCTTCGAGCACCCTTCTTTGGCTGCCCCATTCCTGACTTGCCCTTTTGCCTAGAGGGCCCCAGGCTGGCCAGGACGGAGGCCAGCGCCCTGTCCTCGGCTTCCTGTCCTCTTCCTGGCGTGGGGGCTGGGCTGGGCCATTGTTGACTTTAGTCTGGTGACTTGAGAGAGAGGCTGTGCAGAGAATCAACTCTGGAGCCACCCATGAGCACAGGAAGCGGGCCACTCTGGAAGGGAGGCTGAGACAGGGAGAGAGGGACAGCAGGCACTGTGAGGACATGGCTGGCCAAGCCCTCTTGTCCTGTCAATGCCAAGAGGCTCCCTGTGAGTAGCGCCATCAGAATGATGAAGGGAGCATGGTGGTGGACTCTGGGAGGCTGAGGCAGGAGGATTATAAGTAAAAGCCCACCCTGGCCTACTTAGCAGGACACTGCCTCTAAAAATAGGCAGGCATGGTGGTGCACGCCTGTAATCCCAGTACTCAGGAGGCTGAGACAGGAAGATTGCTGAGTTCAAGGCCAGTCTGGACTACATAGCAAGACCCTGTTTGAAAAAAAAAAAAAGGCGGGGTGAGGACATAGTTCAAGAAAAAGGCTCTGGATTCCATCCCCAATACTGAGGAAAAAAGATGGAAGGGGGAGATGTGCCTTACAGTGAGGTGAGAGCCTCCTGTTCTACCCACCTCCCTATGCTCCCTGTGACTGGTGCCCATGCTGCCCTCCCACTGGGGAGCCTTGGGCTCAGGGGACAGCAGAAGACCCCTCTGCTGTCAGGCCCCTTCAGAACTTGTCTTTTCTCATTGCTCAGACAAAAATATCCAACACCCAAAGTGAAAGGGGGAAGGATTTACTTGGCTCACAGTTTGTTGAGGTTTCAGTCCATAATCACCTGACTGCAAAGCAGGGTGGCATCGAAAAGGAGAAACAGTTCACTGTGGGAAGAAGGTAGCAAAGCAAGCAAGGGACCTTAGCAGCTTCTTTCTGCCCCTTTTATACTCTACCTAGGCTACTGGGATTAGGGTGGTGACAAACCCATCAGTGGACTGATTTAGTAACCACCCACCCTTAATCCCAGCATCACACACTGTAGATCCAGCCACCTCTGAAAAAGCCCCACCCATGACGGAATGAGGGGACATCTAGACACAAGCCAGAACAGAGCTGGATTGTCACGGGACAGTACTGCCCCCACCCAGAGTAGGCACAGCACTGGGTCTGGGCCCCTTTTCAGTGGCCAACACCCCCTTTATGTCTGCCCTCTTGGGCTGGGCATGCCCAGAACCACGAGGGTGCAATGAGATGAAGCCTCTGGTTCCCCATCCTGCGCAGCCCTCTGCTTTCCTGAAGACCCAGCAGGCAGGGCCTGGAGGAGAGGAGGGTGCCTCTTTCCCAGGCGCCTGACTCGAGGCCTGGCCCTGCTTCCCAGGTGCTGGGCAGGCGCACTCCCACTAGGCAGCCTGGACTGGTGCTGACTGGGTGTCTGCTGCCCTGAGACCCTGGGGACACTGCTCCTAGGCAAAGTAGCACCTGCACAAATCCTCGGCCACTGCTCAGACTTTAGGGGCTCTCCTGGGGCCCTGGTTTCCCTGCCCATGGTTCTCCAGGCCTGACTTTTGCTTCTGCTTCTGCTGGGCTGGGCTGCGTGTGCTTTTGGAAGCTACATTAATGTTTGGGAGGAGGACGGGCTTCGCATGCCCCCTCTTGGGGAGGGCTGGTGTCACCTGCCTGGGTTCAGCGGTCCTCAAACCTTCCCAGACATCTCGTTTTCCCTCTGGTCTCAGATGTAAGTGGGTGCATTCAAAGCAAGAACCCTGCCCTACTGGGGGTGGAAGAGGCAGGAGGCCCTGCGTGCATCAGATCCCGGAGGGGACTCACCTGTTACCACCATGGCTTCTGGCTGGGACGATGCTACTACACAGGCCTCCAACTGAGGCACTGGCCTGGGAGGGGCCCGACCATTTTGTGGCAGGGGTGTCCCGTGTGCTTCGGAACCTTCAGCGCTATCCCGGGCCTCCAACCACCCTGTGATCATCGGACGTGTTTCTAGACATTTCAGTGCTACGGCCCTACAGCAGTAATTAAGAGATTCAATTACTTAGAACAGGGAAGAACTGGTCAGGACTGTTTGCCAACAATAGAAGGCTGGCAAATTCCAGCCCTCCTTGGGCCCCGGGTGCGGGGAATTCACTGAGAGGGTGACAGGCTGAGAAAGCTGACAAGGAAAAACAGGTTATAAAACAGCTTGTACCCTGAGATCCCACACAGAGTATGTATGGAAAAAACCCCGAACAGTCGTTGCTGTGGGTGGTGGGGTAACAGGTGATTTCCTTCTTTATACTTCACTCTGCAAATTTTCTGCAGTTAACATGTATTACTTATATAAGCCAAAATAACTTTTAGGTTTTGCAGTGCTGGGGATCAATCCAACCTAGGGCCTTGTGCATGTGCTCTACCCCAGACCTCAAATGTTTCCGTGGCGTTTTGAAAAGTCCCGTGTGTCCCAGCTTGTGGGAGCCCAAGGCTGCAGCGGGACTTCAACAGCACCTCCCACGTAGGGAAACTGAGGTTGAGAGCGGGGAAAAGACGCCTCCGGTCAGCTGGCTCGAAGTCCTGGCTCATTTCCCTGCTCTTGACGTTGGAGAACAGTCTAGACTTCTCATGGGTGGGACAGCTTCCCCTAACAGCAGCTTTCGCAGGCTGCAATTGCCCCGCTGGCTCCTTACTCTGCACTATTTCTGAACCAGCCTGGTACTTAGCAGGCCTCCTGGTGTGTCCTGAAGAGCTGGTATTTTCAGTTAATTTCCTTTCCACAGGTAAAAAGGAAACAAGCCTGCTACAGCCTGACCCCAGGTTGGTCCACATGCTAGGCAAGCACTCTCCTGCTGAGTTGCGTCCCCAGCCCAGGAAACAATCTTGCGGTGGGCAGGAAGTCCCTTTCAGGCTGGGAGATGTTCAGAGAGCATGTGACAGTGTCTGGGCTTGTCGAACTGTGGCTGTTGACCTGCGGGCTGGGCAGCAAGCCCTGGCTCTATGACTGGCTCTCTATAGTCAGTGGCTGGTCCTGTCCCACCTTCTCCCACACCTTGCCGTGTGTCTGCTTTGCTAAAGACAAAGGTTTAGTGTGGATTCAGGGTCTTGACTTCCACCCCTTTCTAAGGAGTTAGGGACTTGTTTAAATCTTTTTTTATTTTATTTTTTTTTGAGACAGGGTCTCGCTCTGCAGTTCAGGCTGGCCTTGAGCTCACTTTGTAGCCCAGGCTGGCCTCAAACTCGCACCGATCCTCCTGCCTCAGCCTCCCGAGTGCTGGGATTACAGGAGTGCACCACCAAGCCTGGCAGAACTTGTTTAAATTTAAAGCTTGATTTAAAACTCACCTGCAAGACCCAGTGCAAAGTGTCACTACAGCAACTGGCTCTGACCACCCCTGCGGCACTGATGGCTGGTGGTCTCCCTTCTGCTTTAGCCACAAAGCCCTGTGCTTGGCTTCATGTTGGTTCCCAACTTCCCTTGCTGCAGGGTGACACGGGGCCAGGTAATGAAATGCTCCAGCAGCCTCCTTGGGGTGTAAGACAAGGCGAGGTGGGGTGTGTTTACACCACCTTGTTCAAAACTGTTACAGAAGGCAGGGTGTGGTGGTGCACATCTGCTATCCCAGCAATCTGAAGGCTGCTGCAGGAGGATCCCTGAGGGTTCAAGGCCAGCCTGGGCTACAAAGTGAGTTCAAGGCCAGATGAACTACATAGCAAAACCCTGTCTCAAAAAGGCAAAAAAACCAACCAAAACAAAAAACCCAACTCCTACGTGGCTCCTGCGGGGTGAGTGGGCTGAGATTCTGCTGTGCTACCGGGAGCCTCACTGCACAGCGTTCCTGGCCCAGAACCTCACAGGACACAGGATTCGGGTGAAGACAGGTAGTTCCAGCAGCCCCGCAGTGCAGCAGATGGCTCCGAGGCTGGACGGAGAGCAGCACACAGGACAGCCAGGTTGTTGTGGTGGCCCTGCATCTGGCAGGGGCATCTCCTCCGCATGTCTGCTCTTTGCTCCCCAGGCCGCCCGAGAGCTCTCTAGGGAGCACTGCCCCGCCTGCCCCAGG